CCCTGAGGCTGGCACTGCCCATGCCGGGGGGGGCTGGGCTGGGGGGGACAGGCAGAGCCTGGAGCAGGTATGGGCAGATGACATTTCCAAGCTAATTTCTGTGAAATTATGAGGTAGGAAGCTGTTTTCAGGAAGTTTTTGTCTGTTTGGTTTGGTCTTTTTTTTATTCTTAAAAAATTAAAATCAATGTCTTGGCTGAGATTTCCCTCTGCTCCATCACCCCCACACCTGGACAGGGATGCAGGGCATGGGAGCCAGGTTGGCCTTTGTCGCCTGGTCCCCGAGGGTCCCTTTTCTGGGGTGGGAGTGGGCAGCAGCATTCCGTGCTGTTTCCATGGGAGGAGGAGGAGGCAGCACCCTGTTTGATGCCCGGCCACACGCCCGGGCTTGCTGAGCCTCCACCCCACGCCTGGGCTCCACCCAGCTCCAGGGGGGGCTGCCCCGGTTCCCTGTGCTCCTGCATGTCCTGGCACACTTGTCCCTGCCCGCCCCTGTCCCAGCCCTGTGCTGGTGCTTCCCCTCTCCTGTTTGTGGTGGGTGTCTCAAGGGTTCTGTCATGTCCCACCTGCCACGGGCTCCTGCTCCTCAGCCAGGCCCCCTGTCTCTCAAATCCCCTGGGCTCCTCCTTGAAATAATCTTGGAGTTTCCCCCCAGGTGTTTCATCCCCCAGGCTCACTCCCAGCATCCCGAGTTTGAGGTGAGGGTGGAAAAGGGCGGCTCAGCCACCCAGTGCCATCAACAAACAGCCAAGCTGGGGGCTTTTTGTCCCAAACTTGGTAGCTGTGGCCCCAGGCTCTGTTGGGAAGGGACCATCCTGGCAGGCAGGAGTTGTTTCTCCCCTCTCCTTGCCCTGCTCCCTGGTTTTTTTTGCAGCACTTTGGGAATGCTTTGTTGTGGGTGAGGGCTGTGCCCGCTGCGCTGGGAGCTGCTCTGTGGCTGGGCAGAGCGGGTGGCCCCACGGCCCCCGGGCCACCAGTCCTATCCCAAAACCAGCCTGGCCTTAGGCACAGCTTTTCCAGCAGCTTCCCAGCCGGGAGAGCTCCAAAAGCCACCACCATCGGAGCGGGCACCGGGCCCAGCCAAATCCAGAGCTGCCGCTGGTGCTGGGAGGGACTGGTGCCAGCAGTGCCAGCCCCACTGGTGCTGGGGACAGTTTGGGGACAGCTGATGGTGTCTGCCTGGGACAGGGCCAGCAGCACAGTGCCGGAGGGTTTGTTTCTCCAGTGGTGGCTGAGCTGTGGCCACGGGTTGACACACAGGGATCATGGGGATTGCAGGAGCCACAGGGAGCCTCTGCCGGGCCAGGTGTTGGAGCCCCATGTGACAGCGGGGTACGGGCAGGTCCCCACTCCTGGAGGATCAGCCCTGGCCCTCCCTGCCCTGCGGGGACACTGCAAAGGTGTTGGGGCTTGTCTGGGGTGGTGGAGACGAACTCCAGCCTGGAATTCCCTCGCTGAGGGGCTGTCCCAGCCATGGGCCTGAGAGGGGAGGTCATGGAGGCTGGGGGGAGCACAGGGAGCCCCTGACACCCCCGGGCTGAGAACAGGCCACACGTGACAGCAGTGGCCATGTGGAGGGTCCTGGCACCTCCTGCCCTGTGCCAGGCTTTGCTGGGGGGCTCCCTCCTGGCATTCCCTGGCGAGTGTGGGGGTGTGGTGGGGGGCCTGGGTTAGTGGTGGTAGGAGCTAAGTGGTGACCCCCCAAACTGGTTAGGCCCGTTTCGAACGCTCCCTCTCAGCTTATCTGGCTTCAAAGGGCTCCTGCTCCATCCCACGCACACAAACACGCTCCCTGCGAACCAGGGGGAGCCCCCTGCATCCCAAAAAATGCCTGTGCCCCCCAAGCTCTGCCTCTCCTCCATCTTCTAGTTCTGACACCCCCAAACCCTCCCCGTTACACCTATGGGTGCCCCGAGCTGGGTGTTCAGGGGGATGTGTTGGGAAGGACACATTGGATCATGGCCATGGTGGCGGTGGGGATCCCTGGGGACTCTTTGCAGGCGGCCGAGATGTGGCTCCCCTGTGGGGGCTGGCCCCCCCCCAGACCCCCGGCCGTGCTGAAGATTTTGAGGAGCCCCTGTGAGCCCCGAGGTCGCAGCCTCGGCGGGGAGGCGAGCGTGTTCCATGCAAAACCCCGGCGAGGAGACTGGTTGGGCGAGGTGCGGGGCGGGCCCGTGCGCCCCACGCCCGCCGCAGACGCCGGCGCCCACCCGCACCCCGCAGCACCCAGGGGTGCACCTGCCCGCCCGAGGATGCTGCAGGACAGCTGCCCTCCGGGGCCAGCCAGCCAGGTACGTGCCGGCCACTCCCGCGGCCGTCGTCGCCGCTGTCCCCACCGTCCCCAGCCGCGGGTCCCTGGGGGGAGCCGGTGTCACTCGCCCTGCCACGCAGCCTGTCCCCTTCCCCTGGCCGGGGTGGTGCCGGGGTCTGGGGCTCCAGCACGTGGGTCTGGTGGCTGCCCAACAGCGGCCGGCTATGGCCAGGAGGCTTTTCCCTCCCTCCCTCTCTCCCTGCGCCTCGGTGTCCCCAGCGTGGCTCCTGGCACGTGCGCGGTGTCCGGGCTGGTGCAGCCACCGCGGCCGCTCCCTGCTCCAGCACCGATGGCCCCGGCGGGCACGGCCAGCCCTGGGGACACGGGCGTGGGGACAGGCTCTCGGTGCTGCTCGGGGGGTGGGAGAGGACGCGGCGCTCCCAGGAGCCGGGGCTCCCCGGGAATGTGGCTCTGTCACCCCGCGGGAGAGTGACAGAGTTGCCTCCAGGCGGGGGGCGGTCAGCGGCTGCTTTAGGGACCCCGGATTGGGTTTATTTCAGTCTGTCATTCCAGCTGGGCTCGGGTCCCCTCGGGAATCCCTCAATTTTGCTTCAAACGTTTTCTTTGTGCTGATTCGCTGTTTCTAAGCCCCCTGGTGTATCCCCCTCCTATCCGACCTTCCCCAATTAACAAACTGCTTGATGAGGCAAGCGCTGCCCATTCCAGCTCCAAGCAGCCCTTGAATCCCCCCGGACCCCCGAATTTCCAGTTGTCAGCTGCAGGGCAGTGTTATGGTGGGGGAATGTGGGTTTGGGAGGGAGGAAGAGCTGGGGGAAGGTGGGGGTTCCAGTGGGCTCGGGGTTGTCCCCGGAGCCCCTCTGTCCCCCGGAGCTGGGGGGCTGCTGGGATGGCCCCGATCCCCCGGGATCCTGGCACAGGGACGGCGGGCAAGCGTTGGCTTGCAGAGGGAGCGATCCACCCCCTCCGCCTGCCCGCCCGCTGCGGGGGAACCCGTGATTCATCCGGGCTCCGAGGGTTGGGAGCGCCCGCCGAGCTCTGCCAAACTCGGTGCGCCCGTGGGGTGGTGCCGCGGTGGGAGAAGAGGGGGGACCTCGGGGGTTTTCCTGGGTGCTGTACCCCAAAAGGCCCAGGCGTGGCCCCTGGGCAAAAGGGGGCTCCTACAAACCCCGCAGTTGAGGGGGTGGGTTGCCCCCACGTTGGTCCTTGCCACATCGGGATGCTGCCTCCAAGGGGGACTTAGGGAACCACGGGGGGACTGTCACCCCAGACTGCTGGCCCGCAGCTCTTGCCACCCCGCCCGTGCCGCGGCTCCTGCTGACGGCGGCACATTCCTCGGGGACAGCCGCCCTTTTCACCCCCGACCGAAGCGCACACGGTGTCACCGCCGGGCGTTGTAAACCCGGCCCAGCCCGCAACGCTGCTGTCGCTGCCGGGGCGGTGACGCCAAGCGCTGAGCCAGGGCTGGCCACAGAGCCAGCCCCGCGTGGCCACGCTCACCCCAAAGCGCCCGGCCGGTGACACGGAGCCACCGTGACCCCGAGCGGGGCTGAGAACGGCCGCAGCTCGGATCAGCAATGAGCCGCTCGGGCCAGCGCTGCGCGACAGTGGCATGGCCTGGCAGCCGGGGGATTTCGGGAGCTGACCCCGAGCACAGCGGGCCGGGGGGATGTGGTGTCCCCGGTCTGAATGGATGGGGCGGCTCGGCAGGTGGGGCGAGGCTAATTAGTAGCTGTGGTGGCAGCGGGGCCTGAGTCACCGCGTTCGTCACCGCGGGCCCGCGGCGCTCAGCCGCCCCTTTTTTATTATTGTTGTTTTTTCATTCCCCGGCTGATTTAAAAAGCAAAGCAGGGAGGGCCCAGCCAGGAATTACTGCAGGGCTGGACCCCTGTGCCAGATGGGGGTCCAGAGCGCTCCTGGAAAGTGGCTTGAGTGATCTGGGGGTCCCTGTGGAGGTGGCCTGGGCCTTTGTGGTCAGGGCTGGTTGAGGGGTCTCTCTGGTGGTCTGGGACACCTCTGGGACCCCATGTGGGGGTGTGGAGCTCACTGGAGTGACAATCTGGGGGTCCAGAGCTGGACAGAGAGGTCATATGGGGGTCCAGAGCACTCTCCTCAGAGGTTTCCTGGGGGTCTTGAGCTCATTGGAGGGACACTGTTGTAGGGGTCTGGGGCTCAGTGGCAGGGCCGTGTGAGTCTCTGGAGGTCAACGGGAAGGTTCTCCAAGGGTCTGGGGCTCTCCTAGAAGGCCTCATGAGTCTCCAGGGCTCACTGGAGAAACAATGTGGGTGTCCAGGGTTCAGTGGCAGAGATCAATGGGGAGGCTTTGTGGGGGGCCAGGGCTCTTCTGGGGGATTTCCTGGGGATCTTGGGCTCATTGATGGGACAGTGTGGGGGTCTGGGCTCACTGGTGTGGCTGCCCAGGAGTCAAGGGGTGACTGTCTGAAGGAACCCTGGCTTTTCCCAAGGTAGGACCCCCAGACCCCTGGACCACCCACCTCCCTCATCCCGAGGTCGCCCTTGGGCACCTCCACCTGTGACGGTGACGATGGTGATGGTGTCAATAGTGACAGTGGCCCCGATGGGGCCCCCTCCTTTTCCCGGCGAGGCGTGGCAGCGGGGCGGGACGGACGGGCCGGGACGGAGCCTCCCTACGGCTGGGGAACGCCGGAACGCCGCCACTGCCGCCGCTCACCTGCGCAGGGCGGCCGGGCTGGCCGCGGCCCCTCGGCACCATGCAGGAGACTAACGCCTTCCTGCTGTCGGCCCTGCAGCCCGAGGCCGGCGTCTGCTCCCTGGCCTTGCCCTCGGACCGGCAGCTGGACGAACGTGGCCGGGAGGCGGCCGAGGCCCAGCGGCTGCGCAGCGCCCGTGTCCAGGAGCAGGTCCGCATCCGCATGATGCTGCGGGGGCAAGCGCCCGCCCGCCCCGAGGACCTCCCCGACGGCACCAGAGGTGGGAGACCCCCCGGGAGCCCCTGGGAACACGCGGTGGGACGGGGGGTGGGAGCCCCTCGGCCGGAACTGGGCTCTGGGTGCAGCTTGTCTGCGGGTTGGGTGGTGCCCCCCAACCCGACCGAGTCCCCCCAGTGCCCCCGAGCATCCCAAGTGCTGGGACCGGGGATAGCTCAGCCCCAGCGTGGGCTTGTTTTACCCCACTCGGGGTCCTGCCTTCGTTCCCCCACCTGCCCTTGGCGGGCTTTGCGCTGCTGGGGTCCCACACCCCGCGTTGGGCTGGCAGGGGGGAGGATTTTCCCGCCCTGGCAGAGCCCCCCCAGCCTTGAGCGGCGGCGCTGGCCGGGCTCCAGCTCCTCCATTTAACGTCTGCGCCGGCGGCCTCCGCCCTGCCGCCCCGCCCGGCACCGCCGGGATCCCCCGAGCCCCGACCCCCGCGCTGGGGACCCCGGTGCTGGGGACAGACCCCTCTGACACCCCGAGGGCTGCCCCAGGCGTGAGTCACGCTCCTGGCACCACAGCACTGGCGGCGTCCCCGTCCCGTCCCTGTCGTGTCCCGCCGGCAGCCCTGGGGCGGTGGCAGGGCAGATAGGCAGCGTGAGGTGTCATGGGGGGCACCGGGGTTCCAGGTGCCGTTCCCAGAGCGGGGAGCCGGGACTGGCTGTGGGGAACGCCTGGGCTGCTGATCCAGCTGCGGCAGGGGGGACCGGGCTGAGCCGCGGCGTCCCCGCCAAGGTGGCAATTAGTGCCCTCGCCGTCGGGGCATGAGGCAGGGTGGAGAGGCCACTTCTGCTCCCCTTGGCCAGCGGGCAGGTGAAGGCGGCCTCCTCCCACCCCTTTGTCCCCCCAGCTCTGCTTGCGGTGCCACGGTTCCCGCAGCAGGTCCCCCTGGGATGAGCTGGGGCGATCTTTGATCTCCAGATCCCTTCCTGCCCTGCCCATGCTTACTGTGCGTCCTCTGTGGCTGTCCTGCAGGCAGTCAGTACAGCTCGACCCTGCGCTCCTCCTTCAGCTCCCGCTCCCAGAGCAATGGGGTGGACCCCAAGGCCTCGGTACGTACCGGGGCTCTGTCCCCTGCCCACCGCCTCGGCTGTGCTGAGGAGAGCTCCGGGCTCCCCTGGTGGAGGTGGAGGGATGGACTCCTAACCTTCCATTTCCTCCCTGCAGCTGTACCAGCCGCTGGCCAAGAAGGATTTCGGCACGCTGCGGGGCAGCGGCTGGTCCTCGCGCTCGGCCGTGGACCTCACCCCGCACAAGCGCATGGCCACCATCAGCAACGGGGGCCCGGCCAAGGGCCGCCCGTACGTGGCCGGCTACGCGGCCTCACAGGTGGCCACCGCCTCGCCGCGGCCCAGCTCCTTCCACGAGCGCAACTTCCGCAGCCGGCAGAACCTGGACACGCTGTCGCTGCGCTCCCTGCGCCTGGCCGACGGGCCCCTCCCGCTCGCCGACGACCGCTACAGCGTCCTGTCGGAGCAGCTGGACGCGCCGGGGCACCGGCAGCTCTACAAGAGCCAGGCCGGCGGCGGCTTCGGCCGCTCCTTCGCCTTCGAGCGGCAGCTGAGCGCCGGCACGGCCGCCAAGGCCGGCTGCGACTGGCTGGACGGCGCCGAGGGGCCGCCGAGCCGCACCATCCGCGCGCCCGCCATGCGCACGCTGCAGCGCTTCCAGAGCAACAACCGCTCGCGGCTGAGCGCCGGCTCCTTCGGCACGATGCCGGCGGGAGGCGGCGGCGCCTTCCTGGGGCTGGGGGAGCACAGCTCCCGCGCCCCCTCCGTGCGCAGCCTGGCCGAGTCCGGCCATCACCTCGCGGAGCCGCGCGCCATGGAGATGTACAACGGGCACAGCACGCTGCTCGGACACCACGCCGGCGGGTGAGGGCCGGGGCTGCTCCGGGGTGTCTTGGTCCTTGTCCCCACTGTGGGAAGAGTGTGTCCCACCCTGCTGGAGGAGGGGAGCCCCTCCAGCTCCCACTGGGCACAAGGGATGTTGGGAAGAGGGGTGGGATGGTGGGCGCAGCTTGGACCACAGCACAGGCTGATCTCCAAGCGTGTCCTGCCCCTGCCCCTGGCTCCTCCATGGGCACATCCTGAGACATGGCACGAGGATGATGCTTATCCCACTGGGAATGGAGTCCCGTAACCAGAGCGCAGAGGGAAGGAGATGGGTTGGTGGGACTCCTTGGAGATGGGGAAATGGTGGGGCATAGAGGTGGAGGATCCTGTGGGATGCTCTGCTGGGACTCAGCTGGCTGTGATTCCAGGTTTGACGACATCGACCTGCCCTCGGCAGTGAAGTACCTGATTGCCAGCGACCCCAACCTGCAGGTGCTGGGCGCTGCCTACCTGCAGCACAAGTGCTACAGCGACAGCAGCGCCAAGAAGCAGGTGAGCCCCCAGAAGGGTGGGAGCAGGGGGTTTCCCAGCGGGAGCAGGGATTTCCCAGCCACTCTGACACCGCAGGCAGGTGCAGGGGCCTGAGGGAGCCCTGGGAGCGCAACATGTCTGACCCCCCGGGCTGTCCCCCAGGCCCGCAGCCTGCAGGCCATGCCCAAGCTGGTGAAGCTGTTCAACAGCCCGAACCAGGAGGTGCAGCGCCACGCCACCGGCGCCATGCGCAACCTCATCTACGACAACGCCGAGAACAAGCTGGCACTGGTGGAGGAGAACGGCATCTACGAGCTGATGCGCACCCTGCGGGAGCCCGATGATGAGCTCCGCAAGAACGTCACAGGTTGGGGACAACGGTGGGATGGGCAGGGGTTCTCCTCCCCCTTCCAGGGGTGGCCTCTACTCCCCCTCTTGTGAGTGGAGCTCCACGGGGATGATCCCTTTGCTTGGTTGTCACCAGCATGAGCCCCCCGGGGAGGGGAGTTGGGGTGGATGTGCTCTCCAGCCATTCCGGTACTGAGGGTCCCCCTCTGTGCAGGGATCCTGTGGAATCTGTCCTCCAGTGACAACCTGAAGGATCGCCTGGCCCGGGACACACTGGAGCAGCTCACAGACCTAGTCCTGGTCCCTCTTTCTGGGCTGGGGGCTTCGGGTGTCATCCAGCAGAACCCCTCAGAGGCAGAGATCTTTTACAACTCCACGGGCTTCCTCAGGTATCTCCTCCAGGTCCTCCCACTGGGAGCAAAGTTTTGGAGGGAGGAAGAGGCAGGAGCACTGTCTGCAGGGCTCTTTTTTGGGCTCAGGTAGGGGTGGCTGTGGGGGATCCCCTTCTCTCCATGACAGAACCCTGTTCTCATGCAGGAACCTGAGCTCTGCCAGCCAGCAGACCCGGCAGAAGATGCGTGAGTGCCACGGGCTGGTGGACTCCATGATCCACTATGTGAACAGCTCCCTGGAGGTGGGGAAGTCGGAGGACAAGGTGAGCCCCCGAGCTGGTCCTACAGGGGCTAGAGGAGCTGAGGTGCTGCTCCCCCACCCTGTTGTGCAAAGGCACATCTTGATGTGGTGCTGGGAGAACCAGCCCAGCTCCACGGAGTCCACCAGCTGGGCTCACTGGGCACACCCAGTGTCATGACTCTGCTATAGAGCCCCTGTGCCAGCTGGACACACCCTGCAGGTGGCCCAGGGATGACTCCCTTGTGTCCCCTGTGCCCCCCAGAGTGTGGAGAACGCTGTGTGTGTCCTGCGCAACCTCTCCTACCGCTTGTACGACGAGATGCCCCCGTCCTCGCTGCAGCGCCTCGAGGGCCACCGGAGGAACGCCGGCGGCACGGTGACAGGGGAGCTGGTGGGCTGCTTCAGCCCCCAGAGCAAGAAAGCCCGGGAGGTCAGTGGGGGCACAGCACATCCTGGCCATGTCACCGGGGTGGGGCTGGCACTGGGAAGCGCTGGCAGCAGAGGTGATGCCAGGGCGGAGGTGGACGCTGGCCTTAGCTGGTGGGTGGGACATGGGTGAGCTCAGCGGAGGGTGAATCAGGTGTTTGGGGTGAATCAGGTGCTGAACCCCCGCTTTTCCACGCCATGGGGCATGGTGTAGCCAGGGTGACCTGCCAGCTCCCTGCTCAGCAGTTCAGGCCAGGCAGGTGTGGGAAAGGCAATGCTGGCAGTGAGGGACACTGAGGAGGGGACATCCCCGGAGTCTAACCATGCCCCTGTCCCTCAGCACTACCTGAACGCGGACATCGTCACCTTCACGGAGGTCTCCAAGGACCCCAAGGGCATGGAGTGGCTCTGGAACCCGCAGATCGTGGGCATCTACAACCGGCTGCTGCAGCGCTGCGAGCTCAACAAGCACACGACGGAGGCGGCCTCGGGAGCCCTGCAGAACATCACGGCCGGGGACCGCAGGGTGAGGCCCGGGGAACGCCGGGGCTCCCACCACAGCCGTGCTGGGAGGGGGGCACCTGGGCAGGGTTCACCCCAGCCTGCTCCCCGTGAGTGGGAGGAGGAGCAGGGAGCTGGCGGAGTCTCCAAGGGGATGTTTGCCTTGCAGTGGGCGGGTGTGCTCAGCCGGCTGGCGCTGGAGCAGGAGCGCATCCTGAATCCCGTGCTGGACCGTGTCCGCACTGCCGACCACCACCAGCTGCGCTCCCTCACCGGCCTCATCCGCAACCTGTCCCGCCACGCCCGCAACAAGGACGAGATGTGTGAGTGCCAGGGGTCGACCAGGGCTGGGGCGTGCTTCCCAACCTTTGCCTTTGCCTCCCATTATCTCGGGCCACATCCCAACCCCATCCTGCCTGCTGCATCCCTGCACGCAGCTGAGCCGGCAGGCTGCTCCATCCCCTGTTCCCAGACGTGTCTCTGTGCCCTCCGGCTCTGGCCACCAGCCCTGATGTTCCCTTTGCCCACAGCCACCAAGGTGGTCAGCCACCTGATCGAGAAGCTGCCAGGGAGTGTCGGGGACAAGGCCCCGCCCGCCGACGTCATCGTGAACATCATCGCGGTGCTCAACAACCTGGTGGTGGAGAGCCCCATGGCCGCCCGCGACATCGTCTACTTCGACGGCCTCAGGAAGCTCTTCTTCATCAAGAAGCGACGGGACAGGTGGGATGGGAGCTGCGTGTCCCAGCTCACTGTCGGGCTCCTGTCCTGTTCTCCTCTCCCTCCCTGCTCCAGCACCCTGGAAGAGGGTCACAAGTTTCCCTTCCCAAACCTTGGCGTTGGGAATCCCCAGACTAGCTCAGAGTCGCCTTGTGGCCACTTGCCAGCCCTTTGTCACCCCCTAAGGACACCCCACCATCACCATAGCTGCTTTTTCCCATCAGGGAACCTCTCCCTGCTCCTGCCTGTTATTGTGGGATCCAGCCATTCACCTCCTGCCTCTCCCCACCCGCACCAAGCCCCTTCCAGACCCCTCTGGAGTGGTCTCCTTGGGCTGATGGGCACTGTCCCATGCTCAGTGGTCCCCAGAACCTCATTGCATCCTGTCCCTTTCCCAGCTCAGACAATGAGAAGTCCTCCCGAGCCGCCGCCAGCCTCCTGGGAAACATGTGGCAGTACACCAAGCTCCACCGGGACTTCAAGATGGTATGTACCCATTCCAGAGCCTCCCGCAGCCACTGGGAGGGTCCCTAGGGAATTAAGGCCAGGGGATTCATTCTAGAGAGCCACACCACCCAAATGCTTCCCAGGATATGGTGGGGTCCCACTCCACGCCTGCTTTTCCTCAGGTGTGGGGACATCCCACAGCGTTGTCCCTGTGCAGGTGGGGTGGGGACAGTGTGGCCCATCAGTGCCGGAGCAGAGGGGCTCCATGGGCCTGATGGGGCTGTCTCCTTGCAGAAGGGGTACCGGAAGGAGGACTTCCTCAGCCTGTGAGGACACCCTGGGAGCTGGAATGCCTCGCTGGGATGCTCCGTGCTGCCAGCCATGCCGTGGGGAGGCTGCTCGCCGCCAGACCCCCACTCTGTAGCCTAATCCCTACATCCCATGTGCCTCCCGCCTCTGCCGGGTCTCCTTCCCTGTCTGGGGGACACTTGTCCTCCCTCCTGCCCGGCCTTACACCCAGCAGCTGCTTTTGGCTCTGCTGTGGGGCCCCACTGGGACCCCATTTGGGGGGGGGGCGCGCCCCATGGCACCCCTTGGGGGCCCTCCCTATGCTCAGGCAGCTGTCTGCAAAACTTGGCTTGTCCTGGCTTGACAGGGGGGCAGGAGCTGTAGGGATTTGGGAAGGCTCCTGTAGAGCAATTCTGGGGTAGGGGGGCTTCTGGGGGTGCTTCATCCCAGCTCCCTGAGCTGTGGGGCCGGGGATGTCTGTGCTCTGTGCCAGTGTGGGATGTGCGTCGGGTTACACTTTTGTTCTGCCCTGGCTGGGTGGGGATGGAGCTTTGCATGGCTTGGGGGCTTGGAGGGCTCTGAGGTGGCTTCCCACAGTTTATGGGGTGGCACAGCGGTGCAGGGAGCCGGGAAGTGACGCTGTGACAGCGCAGCATTCCCCCTTTGCTGTGGAGGGTGGGCAGGGGGGCTGCCTGATGGGGCTCTGTGCCCTCCCTGCAGGAAGCCTGGGAGGGCCTCAGGGCTCCATCTGCCACCCTGTGGGGACTGTCCCAGCGTGGCAGAGCTGCTGCTGTCGTTCCTCACCAGCTGCTGCCAGGGCTGGGCCCTGCTGGCGCAGCAGGATCCGGGCAGGGCCGTCCGGGTCGTGTTTGCTGAGCAGTGTCACCCGTGGGTGGGGAGGTGCCCCCGGTGTCCCCGGCGCTGGGTGCAGACGGGTCCAAAGCTCTCTGTGCCACAGTGGTGGCCGGGAGGGGACGCACGGGTGCGCTGGGGGTGGCTTTGGGCTGCCGGTGGATTTGGGGCTGCGGGAGCCCCCATGCTTGGGGGGCACAGGGCACCCGGGGGGGACAGTGTAGAGTAGAGGGGTGGGAGGATGGGGGGAGTGGGCAGAGGGGCTGGAGCAGCCCCCACGGTGAGTGACGCCGGTGCGGTCCAGGCGCGGGGTCATGGGGTATTTGGCTCTGCTGCTCTCTGTGTACAACCCCCCCCGCCCTGTGTACCCCTGAAATAAAAGCCTTGAGTGATGCTCACCTGCACCTGTGTTTCGATGGCACCTGGGAGAGGGGGGACAGTGTCCTGGTGACACCAGTGCCAGGGGGACACCAGCACAGGGTGAGCTCACCGCACAGTGCCATGCCATGCTCTGTGCCTGGCTTGGCTCACAGTTAGTGTGACAGGGACACTGGTGTGGGAAGGACAGATCAGAGCACTGCCTGTGGTGGGGAGACCCCCCCCGTGTCACCTGTGTCCCCATCATGGACAGATGCAGTGGGTGCAGCAGCCTTTTATTGTCACGGGGTTTCCATATGGGACAAAGGCGCTGCCACCGCTCCTGTCGGGCACTCCCTGGGGCTGGGGCACGCTGTTCCTCAGAGAGCATCACCCATCCCAGCAATTGTCCATCATGCAGGAAGAACGTACCTGCCACCCACGGCAAGGGACACAGCCCAGCCACCTGGGTGGCACCCAGGGGTGGCACTGAGGTATTACGGGCACGGTGCTCCTGGTGAGGGTTTTCCAGTTCTCCACTTTGGAGCCAGCTCCTGCTTTCCCAGCACGGCCGTGGCTCTGATCCCATCATAACTCCCGGGCTCCTCAGCCCTGACCTGGTCCGTGTGTCCCCACGGGGCCGGGGGACACCTGTGGCCCTGCTCAGATGTCATCCTCTGTCACCAGGCAGTAGAAGTCCGTGCGGGCACCGTAGTTGCGCGACCCCAGATCCGAGACGTCGAGCTCGGAGCGCTGCCCGTCGCGCAGCTGCGCGTCCTCCATCCCGCTGGATGCCGGAGCGCCGGGAGCGCTGCGCCCACCGAGGCGGGGTGGTGGGGGGCTTCCGAAGACGCGCCCTCGGAGGCCTGGCAGGAGCAGGGGGATGGGTTTAGGTGGAGGGGGAAGGGGCTGGACCCACCCCGCCGCCACAGGAGCGGGAGGCAAAGCCCAGGAATGACCTCCAGTGCGCATCTGTCCCCTCGGGAGAAGCAGCAGGGACACGGACCTGTGCCGAGGTCCCCGTCCGGGTCCAGGTCTCCTGCGCTGTCCAGGTAGCTGCTGTGCAGGATCAGCATGGGGTCCTTGTCCTCCTGCAGCTGGGTCTGCGGGTCCCCCACGCTCCTTCCCCCCGGGAAGGACACCTTGCGCGGCAGGGCCAGGCACAGCTCCTTCCAGAAGTCCGACGATGGGGTCTGCAGGGGTGCCGAGGGGATGAGCTGGGCCGGGACCACCGGAGCACGGCCCCGCAGGGTTCCACGGGCTCGGCTCGCTCTCCCCGGTGCTGGGAGCTCGGCCAAGGTGAGGCTGTGCTCCGGCGTGGCACCGTGCCCACGCGCCGGCGGAGAAACCGGCCCGACCTGCTGGAACGCTCCCCAGGGCTCCAGCTCCCAGCCTGGTCCCGAAATGGCCGGAGTGGCCCTGGGCCAAAACTCCGCTTGGGGAGCTGAGGCTGGGGAGGCCCTGCAGTGTCACGGGGTCCTCCTGACTGTGCAGGTTTGAGGGGTGAGCTCCCAGATCCGGGGCCCTTCTGGTTGGGTTTTTAAATGTCCTCCAATAATGTCCTCCAAAAGCCTGCTCTTTAGCACCGGAGCCTGGGGCACAGCCCCAGAGGCAGCAGGGAGGCTGACCCAAAATGGGGAGCTGGGAATGGAAGGGGGTGCTGGTGGGATGGGTCCTGCTCTGCTCTCACCATGGGGCAGCCCCAAAGGGCAGCAGGAGGGAGGCTGGCACTGTGGGGTGCTGGGGAGGGAAAGGGGGCTCTGGGGGGGCCAGGATCCCTCTCGGCACTCACCATGGAGCCGGCTCTCCACACCAGCAGGGTCACTGTGCTTCGGTGCTGCTTCAGCAGGGTGATGGCGGGGTGGGTGATCTCCCGGTACTGGCTCTCGAAGACGATGAAGATGGGTTTCCTGGAAAGCTCCAGCAGCCTCCAGAGCCCTTCCCTGCGAGACAAGTGGGTGACAGGAGGGTGAGGGATGCAGCAGCCCCTCTCCTCTCCTGTGGGAGCTGCTCTGCTCCTACCTGAAGCTGCTGTTGCACCACTCCTGCTCCAGGTACGCGACGGAGAGCACCACGATGAGGCGCCGGCACCGGCTGACATTCATGATGAGGTCAGCTGATGGCTCTGTGCAAAAGGGTGTCAAGCCCCCAGGTCCCTGTGTCACCCCCTGCCCAGCCCTGCCTGGTGCCTACCTGAGTTGGGCAGGATGTTCTGCTCGTCCAGGAAGAGCTTGTAGCCGTGGCGGTTTTCCAGCTGCGGCTTCACGATGAAGTGGATGAACTTCCGGTCATCGGGGGCAGTGGCGTGGGAGACGTAGGCATCGTAGAGCTTCCCGTCTGGGGAGATCCATGGAGTAGGGATAACGTGGGAAGGGCTGTGCGAGCCCCCAGACTCGCAGAGTGAGTGGGAGTGGGAACACCTTTGGCTCACCGTTGATCTCCAGCTCTCCGTAGCGGTCCCGGTACCAGAGGAGCGCGTTCAGGCGGCACTGGACATAGAGCACAGCCAGGAGCACCAGGAGCACCAGGACCAGGAGGGCTGCCAGCACCGCCGGCACGTGCCCCACCGCCTCTGCCAGGACAGGAAGAGCACGGTGAGCAGCATACCTGGGTTTGGTGCAGGTCTGCACCCCGATGTGGGAGAAGCAGCAGGGCCCCTCTCACTCTCCTCAATCCCCCTGTGCACCTGGGCTCTCTGTGGGATGCCCCCTCCCTGTCACCAGCAGGCCCCTACCAGCTCGCCGCAGGGTGAAGGTGGCTGTGGCATTGCTGATCCAGCAGGCAAACACCCCAAAATCGGCATCCTGGGTGAGGTTGAGCTGCAGGACGCTGGCCAGGAGCTGCTCCGAGGAGTTTTGGCCAGACCTGACAGGACATGGGGGATGCTATGGGTCAGGCTGTGTGGTGACACCCCCCAAAAGCAGATAGATGGATATCCCCAGGGCAGGCTCCTTACCAGACAGTGTCCTGGCTGCTCCCACTGCCCAGCCACTGCCCATCCTTGCTCCAGGTGGGAATGGGCTGGCAGTGCTCGGTGCCCGCCCAGCGCACGGTGCAGTTCAGCTCGACCTGGCTCCCCAGCACCAGGTCCAGCGTCTCGTTGGCAGCCGGCACCAGGAATTCGGGGGGCACGCTGCAAAGGTCTGGGAGCACAGAGGGGAGGGGGTTTGGATGGGAAAGCTGATCCAGCTCCCCCCAGGGCACGTGACTGCTGTAGCCATCCTGGACAAACAAGCTCTGCCTTGGGGGTCTGGCAGCGAGTGGTGTTCGTGGCTGTTTAGCAACATGCTGAGCCGGTTTGGGGGGCTGGGAAGGACCCTCGGCACCCTAAGAGGTGACACCAGAGCAGGACCCCCAGCTGAGCTTGCACAGGGATCCTTCCCAGCTAAGAACAGGGGAGAAGTGGGATTTTGCCTACCTGCCATGGCGTGCTCAGGTGACAGGCGCGGGCGCTGCCAGCATCTCACGCGGCGTCTTCCGGGGGGGACAAAGTCCGCCTGCCTCTGCCACAGGGCGGGCTGGGCCTGGGACACAGCGGGAGTAGCTCCGTGAGTGCTGGCACAGGGAGAGCCCGGCCACCCCCATCGGCGCCCGCAGCGATTCCGACCGGGGGCGGTGGGTGCTGCTCTGCGGTAAAGCCAAAGCCGCGTCCCACCCACAGCCTGGTGACCACTGTGTCACCTGCCCTCCCTGCACTGACTCCTGGCTTTCCCAACCGTGAATTTATGCGTGGGAGGTGATTAATGACCAGCTGGGGGTTGCAGGATTTTAAAAATATGGCTTCAGCCCAAATCCAAAACCAAGGCAGGGAAATGAGCTCAGCCATGGGAAACCCCAGCTTTGGGGGTCTCGGTGGTACCTCCTTCACCTGCCAACCCCCTGCCTGGGCTGCAGAGCTGCCTCCAGCCTGACATGCCCTTGAACCTGCTAATTACCAGCGGTCTGGTTTGTTTATGGAAACGCAGCTCCCACCTGGAGAGCTCCCCGGCGGGTGCCGTGTTCCCAGCGCGTTGGGAGCCTCGGTGCGTTGCTACCCCATAGCTGTGCCCAGGGATTGGCACAGCTGCACAGCATTCCAGGCAAGCAGGGAGCACAGGGATGGCACAGAGGGACCCCCCCAGCTGGCATCACTGCGATGGTCCCGTGGGAAGAGGTGGATACAGGGAGCAGAGCCTAGCAAGGCTGGGCTCTGTCCCCACACAGCTGATGTGGGTGATGCGGGTGCCGGGGCTGAGGTGGGAGTCTCAGGGATGTCACGGTGCCTGTGTTTCCATGGTTAACTCCCAGACTGACTCTGGGAGTCAGGAGGGGTGAAAGCCTCTCCCAGGGCTCCTCTTTGCTGTGGAGTTTCAGCACTCCTGGCTGCACCCTGATTTTGGGGGGGAGCAGGGTTGGTTCCCCTGTGTTTGTTGGTGTGGAATGGGAAGGGGAGGTCTGTGGTGCTGCCTGGCTTGGAGCAGGGATGCAGGCATGGTGCTTCCCTCTGGAGCAGCCTAGTGCCAGGCGTGGGGTGAAATCAGGGATCAAGGTACGCAAGAGACGCCCAGTACGTGTTCAGCTTGACCGGCTGGAAGTGATTTATACCTAAAGGATTAACTGAGTTTCTCCATGGCCAGGGAAGGAAGAGGAAGGGGTGGAGATGAGCCAGCCCACCTGGACTTCACATGGAGAAAGGGTGGGAGACGCTCATGAGGGTGGCGTGGGGCTGTCTCTGCCTGGTGTGATGCTCCAGCTCTGCTCCTGGATGGGTCACTCCTAAGCCATTTCCTCTGATGGTCGGAATAAGGAAGCTCCAACAAGCTGCAGCCTAGCCAGGGGGTGTGGGGAGGCCCCAAAAAATCCCCAGAGCCCTTTGGTCCAGGGAAGGACAGTGTTGGATGGCAGGGAGTGGGTGCTGGGGCTGCAGAGGGCCAGGGAGGGAGGAGCACCGGCCAACGGGCAGCAGCGGCTCCCATTTCCCACATCCTGGCCTGGAGACACCCCGGCTTTGAGGCAGAGCACCGTGTGGACATTGTGGGGTGGTGAATGACGGCTGGGCACGGCATTCCCTGGAGCACAGCCATGGGGAAAGCGGGGAGGGCAGGGAGGCACCCTGGCCAGGGAGTTGTGGGGTGGGTGTGCCGAGGCAGCAAGCGGGATGGAGAGCGAAGGAGAGCCAGAACGGGAATGCACAGGGAATGGGGTGAAGGTGAAACCCTGCTGACCTCATCTGGGGCGGCTTCAGCATGGAAAGAAAAGCAGAACAGAGCTGCATTTACCTTTGGAGCTTCCCCAGCCGTAGGCTTCCTGCTTGTCGCCTCCCGCTTGAGCCGACCCGACCGGCCAGATCAGTGCTTGGAATTTCTCTTTTTTTTTTTTTTTCCCCTTTCTGTTTTAATAGTTTATCTATTTCTCCTCCCAGTTCAGCCCCTGCCCTCGGCGGGCGCTCCCGCTGCCCCAATCCCGGGGCGCCAGGCCTGTGGGAAGGGCTGGCTGTCCCTCCCTCCCACTGCTCCACCTCCACCTGAACCTGCGGGGGAAGAATTCTACAACTCCGGCTTCAGGGGAGGGGAAGAGAAAAGAGAAAAGACAGCAACACACTCAGCAGGTGTCACAAGGCTTGGGGGCCAAGGAGGAGCCCCCGGTTTTCCACGCTGGAAGAGCTCACAGAGGTATCAGGGCGAGAAGAAACCTGCCATCAGCTGTGGGGGTCTCCTGTTTGTTTCCTTCTCCTCCCTTTCCTTCTCTCTGTGCCTTTAGAACCTTTTTGCCAGATGAAGCTGCTGCTGGAGGTGGTTGCTCCAGCTGGCACTGGCCGTGGGGAGCTGGATCCGGCCGTGGCCACTGTGGACAGCAGATATTCCCTGTGCTAATTACCATGGAGGGTGATTAGAGCCTCGGTACGCCCCAGGCATGGATCATGGATGTGGTCACAGCAGCACCAGCAGCCCCTGGACAAACACCAGCCTGAGCCAGAAAAGCATCAACCTTTGAGGCCAAGAAGAGAAGAGGTGCAGTGTATGTATTTTCATATATATATATAAATTATATTTTATAATACATAAATATACATAGATGTATATTGGATAACTATGTATATATAAATAAACAGGCACAGGTCACAGGTAGGACTCTGAGCCTGTTCCCATGGAGAAACACCCTGACTCTGACTCCTCATTGTTTAGGATATAAGCTACCAGTGCTGTTGGCTTGTGGGAGGGAAATGGACAGATCCCTGTTGGCATCTCTGGGGAGAATCCCCTGCTCCTGGGCCCCACAGCCACTGGCTGTCTGTGTTTGGGGCAGCAAGTATTGGAGTGGCCTTTTTTGAGGGCTGCCCACTTCTCCTGGACACTGTGATCCATCAGCTGGACAATCCAGTGTAAATCTGTTGGATTTGTGCAATGGTGAAGGACTGCATGGAAGAAGCCCAGGTCCTGGGGATGGCAGGGGTGTGGGGAGGCTTGGGAGCAAACCAGCTGATAAGATCTTTCTTTTCCATCAGGGTTATCCCTGTGGTAGGTAAATTACATGGAGGAGCAGATCCAGTTTTGGTCACAATGGTGCAAAAATGGGACAAGCCTGAGGGCTCAGCAAGTTCCTTTCTGTTCCCTATGGGGTTATTTGTGGCTTTCCATGCTCTTGGGAGCGAAGTTTTGAGGCTGAGTTAACCCTGGTGCCTTTCCCTGCAGTCTTGACTGGGGTGTGTCACCCTCAGGGCACAGCCCCCAGGACTGACACCTTGGGAAGCGTCTGTGGCGGGACCCCTGTGGGACATGGGCAGTGCCAGGGTGGTGTCCTGCCAGGCTGGGGTCACTATCAGTGGGAAAGGAGGGGGCTGCCCCCAGTTCTGCTTCTGGAGTGCCCTGTCAGAGCCTCCTGAGCTGTGGCACCTGCCCAGTCCTGGGGTGTCACCCCATTCCTGCTGCAGACAAACTCGTTCTGTGTGGAGTAGGTGGGCCAGCCAGTAGTGATGTCTCTAAAGGAAAAGTTGGGATAACCCTATCGTTTGGGATTTGCTGTGTTTTTCCCATTTCCCCCAGGTACTTCCATTATCCTGGCATGTTTACCAGGGTGTGTTCCCACTGTGCATGGCCAAGTCCTGGTGTCCCACCAGCCAGCTCCCACACAGCCCTCAGAGTGGCACTGCAGCTGCCACCTGCTGTGATTGTCCCCACTAAGACAAGGAAAGGTTTTGGGGATGATTGGGGATGGCAGAGGAGGAAGGCAGGAACAATACCAGGCAGTTGTCCACGTGGGTGTTGTGTTTATTTACCGATGGCTGGTGGCAGCTGAGCCGGGAACAGCTCTCAGGACCGGGCTGAGCCCGGAGCTAAACGCGAGATAACAGCGGCATTTTCCCAAGGACCGTGGAGCCGCGTCCGTGGAGACAGCAGGGTGGAGCTGCAGCCATGTGGGAGCTGTGCCGGGGAGGAGTTTGGTGAAAGGGACTCAAGTGCCCCAGCGTGAGAGTGGAGGTCACGGGAGGCAGTGGAAAAAGAGGCCAAAGTGCAACAAAAGGGCTGGAGAGGGAGCCTGGAACGAGGTAAGTGGTGTCTCCTGTGCTTAAGGAAGTGAGTGACAAGGACCCAGGTGATCTCCTGCAGCACAGCATCTGGGTGCTGCCCTGGGTTTGTCCCCAGCGCCACGGCTCTGTCCCAGCCACTCCCCGTGCTGGAGAGGCACATCCCGGCTCTGCCACAGCATCCTTCCTTCCCAAGTCAGAAAGCAGCCTGCTCCTGTGAAGCCACTGTCTTGTCATCACTTCCCAGCTCAGGTACAGCTCGGTCCCAGATGGGACATGTGGCACCGTGTCCTGGGGTTCATCCGGCACCCCTGGCACTGCCAGGCTGGGAAAGGGGCTCGAGTCCGTGTTCTCCTTCTCCTTGGTGAGCGGTGGCTACACCTCGGTGGAGTATTCTGCCGTGCTGGGGAGAGAGGAGAGAGGCGTTGGGAAGGGATCTGTCTGCGTTGGGAGGTGTGGAAAAACACTCCGAGCAGGAACAGGGCCTCTTCCCCAAAACAGATGGAGAAAGAATGGCAGGCTGTTTGTGGGAAAGCCCCGTTTTTGGGAAATCCCACAGTCAGTAGGAAGACAGAGATGGAAAGCTGTGACACTGTGGTGTTGGGTTGGTTTTGCATGGCTTGGTTTTTGGTAGCAGGGGGGCACAGAGGTGACTTCTGTGAGAAGCTGCTGGAAGCTTCCACCCTGTCTGGCAGAGTCAATCCCTGATGGCTCTGAAGATGGACAGGCTGCCGGCCAAGACTGGGACAATCAGAGGTGGAGATGTTTGTTGATAACATATGTAAGAAGAAAATCAAAACAAAAAGGGGCATAGGTTTTTTTGCAAGCCAAAGAAGAGGAGGAGGTGAGAACATGTGAGGGAAACAAGATGCAGACACCAAGGCCAGTGCAGAAGGAGGGGGAAGAGCTGCTCCAGGTGCTGGAGCTGAGATTCCTGTGCAGACTGTGGTGAGACCATGCTGAAGCAGCTGTGTCCCTGCAGCCCATGGGGATCCGTGGGGGATGCAGGGATCCACCCACAGCCCATGGGGATCCATGAGGGATGCAGAGATTCACCCACAGCCAGTAGGGATCCATGGGG